GTTATTAGGTGCCACTTGGAGCTGGTGAGACCGGCCTGTGATTGAAAGAGAACATTCAGAATGGAAAGAGACGTGTAAGAGAGAGACAGGAGAAAGATAGAACAGAATGTTGAGAGAGAGAGTAAAAATGAAGGCCTTTTCTTTTGAGACTAGGTCTCACTGTGTAGCCCAGTTCTAAAATCCACACTTAAAGTACTGTACATGAAATAAAAAAAAGAAGTGTGACACCAAGAAGCAATTAAAAAATAAGAGACTGTCTAAAAAGAACAATATACCAAACAAATTATGAAAAAATTGGGTTTCAGGTGCAAGCCTGACCACTTGAGTTTTATCCCGGGAACCCATGCAGAAAGTCAGGTGTAAAATGAACATCTGTAATCCTAGCACTCCTTCGGTGGGATGGGAGGTTGACGTGGGATGCCATCTATATGTATGTTGCTTTTATTCGTTAATGAATAAAGTTGTTTGGGCCAGTGGCTTAGCAGAGTAAAGTCAGGCTCCAGCTTTATTGGGAAATCAGAACAAAGATAGAAAGAGAAAGTAGGCAGAGTCAAAGAGACACCATGTAGCTGCTGAAGGAGACAGACACCGGACCCTTAGCAGTAAGCCACAGCCTTGTGCTGATACACAGATGAACAGAAATGGGTTAATTTAAGATGTAAAAGCTCACTAGAAATATGAATGAACCATTGGCCAAACAGTGTTGTAATTAACACAGTTTCTGTGTGATTATTCGGGTCTGGGCAGCTGGGAAACAAACGAGCAGCCAGCCTCTGTTTACAGGAGATTAGACAGGAACATCAGCCAACTTGCAGGTGAGCTGGCCTAGAGTGTGAAGCATCATTCAAAAATAAGAGAACTTGTTTCAACAAGGAGAGAACCAACTTCTGAAACTTTCTTCTTACACACCACACACATACACACACATACTTCAAAAATTAAAAATATGACAAGTTGGTAGTTAAATAGTTAGAAGATGGTTATTATATTTATTAGCTTTTTATTTTATTTTTATCTTATGTGTGGGTATATTTCCTGCATGTATGTCTCACCATGTGTATGCAGTACCCATAGAGGTCAGAAGAGGGCGTCAGAGCCACATGGGACTGGAGCTACAGACAGTTGTGAGACACACCCTGAGTGCTAAGAATTTGGGTCCTCTGGAAGAGCAACCAGTGCTCTTAACTTCTGAGCCAGCTCTCTGGCAAAATTTTAAATGGGAATGATAAAATAAAAAAAAGAACCTGATAGTAAAGAAATAAGACGAGAATTTTTTTTAAAGAAAGGAGTGTTTTAGTAGGATTTGTATTCTAAAAGTTAAGGGAAAGAGAAACCCAACACTAGAAAGAAAAAACAATAATCTAAATTTAAAGTAAACTGAGAACAAAGCCAGAACGTGGAGTGAGACCTCCAGTTGGAGACAGTGGTCCGGGTGGGTCTGGTGCTGCTGTGAGGACACTGGACCAGGCAGTGAGATGTTGAGACTTCACATCTTCCCACTGCTCACCCGCAGGACCTTGGCCCGGGCTCTCAGCCCACATATATGGTCTTCAGGATCTGAAGTCTCCCCAAATCCCTCCTGGCCAGCAAGCACTGCTCTCCTTTTCTCCTTGGAATGTTTTCAGTTTTGCCCTGTTTCATGCTCCTTTCATGATCCTTTACTTCCCGTGTGATGAGGTCAGCATCCGCACGGCTGACTCACGCTGCCGTACGGGCTTACTCTGCTTTATCTCCTTGAAGCTCCGGTGGTGTTTGCTTTGGTCACTGCACTGTTTTTCACACACTTACTCCCACACATTCATACGCACACCCTGCCTTTATCACCTGGGTTCATCTTTGAGGTTGCAACACTTTTTTTTTTATTGATCCCAAGTTGCTTAGTAACTACTCTTTCCACTGTCTTTGATGGCAACAGAATTGGGAAAGGAGAAAGAGACAACTTCCAGGACCACCTGATGGCAGACTGTCTAAGAATGTGGTGGCAGGGCACATACAGTTAGGGACCCTTTAGGCCTGGGTGGATGTTAGCACAGAGTTCTGGACAGAGGAAGCAGTGCTTAGGAATCAAGAGGAACTCGGCCTGGAAAGTCCTGGGACAACAGCAGCTCTCTGGATTCCGTAACTCACCTGTGAGTTAGGGATAAATAGCAGGTTTGGGGGTTGCAGGTTTATGCCCTTTCAAATTCATATTCTGAAAACCAGTTCCATTATAGCAGGAGGTGGGGCCTTTGGGAGGTGATTGGGTCATAAGGGTGAAGTCTTCAAGAATGGGGTTGGTATTTTTACGAGACGCTAGAAAGTTAATTAGCTCTTTTCCTGTCTGATCAGGACAAGACAAGAAACAGGAAGTCAGTCCTGATCAAACCATCTGCCAATGCCTTGATCTTAGAGACTGCAACTTTGGGAACTGTATAAATTCTGTTGCTTAAGGTCCCTGTGGTCCTTTGCTACAGCAGACAAGACTGACTTAGATGTAGACACAATGCTCCTAAAGTCAAATTGTGTGCTTTGAGAGCCTGTAGGTGGCACTTTTCATGTTCCAGAAGGGTCTGGCAGTTGTGGGCCTGTTCTTGTGCTGGGTCTTGGGACACATTTCTCAAAGCATTTTTGCATCATTAATGGGCCATCAGTCATCCAGACACCAAATATAGATGAAGCTTATCATGTCGAAGTGCAGAATAAAAAGGCCTTTCCTAATAACGCTAAGTTCCCATCTCTTAGGACACCGCTGGCATTCCACAGAAACCCAACTAAATGGAGCCCAGTGCATTACCTGACTCAATAGAATACACCACAAGGTATGTGCAAATCAGACTTCATCAACTCATGCATTTTGGCCTTCTCATTTCTAGATCATAAGTTGGCCTACACCTTTTATTCACCAAACAACCGATGTAGCTTACTTTTTACTAAACCATAACAACTTACTGGTCTTGACTTGGTCCTAGGCCTTTGCTGTAGAATTAATGTCTGTTTCCTTCCCCACCTTCCCAATACCTTGTGGGATAGTATTAGGAGGTAGAGTCATTGGTAGGTGATTAGGTCATGGGCACCAAAGTCTTCATGGATGGGATAGTCTCCTTGTAATAGACTTTAGAGAACTCCCTTGTCTTTTCTGCCTTGTGGGGACACATTGAGCAGATTGCTGACTCTAAGTCAGGAAGTGGGTCTACATCAAACACTGAAGAGGTCGGTGCCTGATTCCGTATTTCCCAGTCTCTAGGGAAGTCTGCTCATAGACTATGGCATTCAGTCACAGAAGTCAGAATGGATTAAGACAGCCCTCTTGACCGTACCTTATGGGTGCCTATATTTTTCAATCATGCATTTAAAAAATTAATTGATTTACTTTCATAGACAGCTGGTTAAATCAATCAGGAATAAATGTATAGGTTTCCAGAGAAAGCCATTATTTCTAAGTCCTTCAGAAGAGTTTACATTCTTGAGGAAGGTACATGAGCTGGACCTAGGGTTGTGGAGCAAGCCTCTTAGCCCAGGTCCGCTCCAAAGTCTGTTGTGGTCTTCCTTCAGCTCACATGAGGAAGCCACACTTACTCCACTCAGAGGTCATGGTAGAATGCCCATCATACCGCCCTGTGACCTTTACACCAGTTACCACCCTTTCTGCCACATGCTCAGCCAAATTGAGGTCTTGGACGATCTAATGATCTTGGCTCCCCTTTCTTAGTTTGTGTCCTCAAAACTCTGTTCTTGAGTTTAGTTTTGGTTTTCTTAGCCTCACTTTCCATTTCTAGCCCCCTCCCATCCCCTATTTTATTGTTTCAACCCTTTGTTCTCTGTCTCTTCTGGGTTTTCTCATTCACTAGCCTGCTTCCTATTCACGGAACCCTCAAATCCCTGCTATCTACTCTCTGAAGTTTGAATAGACAAGTTTTGCTTACATGGAAGTTTGTCTGAGGGTTCTGGAAAGATATGAGAGAAAGCTAAAAAATAAAAATAATAAAAAACCCCAAACAAAACAAAGGATCCTCGGATTCATTCCTTAAACACACATGTAAGTTATACCATGATTTTTAAAGCATTAAGAAATCTGGAAGTTAGCTATCTCTGCTTTTTTTTTTCTTGATTTAACATGTAGAATAATGTAACTGCCTCCTTCACCAGAAGTGAGCCCCATTCCAGCACCTTCTACTTTGGGACTGTATTCTTGAGTTTTGATTATTTTATGGGCACCACTGGACACATGATCTCCACAGATGTTGACGAGTGACCAGTCCCTCACAGACATATGTCCTCATGTTTCCCTGGATGCTCCTTGGGTGTTCCTCCTCTTTGGTTTACAGAGTCGTCCTGGTCTAGACTCCATCCCTATCTTTTAGCAATTCTTGACACACTTCTCTGGTCAGGCCGCGCTGCCTTTGGGCGGGCTTGACACCACATTGCGTCTCACGGTTTGAAACACTTCCCTCCCCCTCCGCTTGGTTGAGGCCTCTATGCTCTTCCCTGCTTGTGCCTAGGCAGGCCGTTCTCACGCAGGCTTCACAGCTTCTTCACTCATGTCAGCGAGTTAGACACTGTCACCTCTTTGGTCACCAGCCTGCACATTCTGGGGTACAGACTTGCCCGTGTTATACAGCTCTCTACCCAATGCACTTATCCCTGAACAGATGTCCAGTGAAGGAGTGATGAGACAATGGACGGATGAGTAAGAGAGGGTAACAAGGAAGGCGCTAGCGTTGTTCCACCAGCGAGGAGAGGAAGCCCAGAGCATCCTTAAGCCTGGTAGCACCTGCAATGTGACACTGGCTAAGTTGGGGGTTTCAGGACCCAGATCCTGCGAGAGGAACCCCGGGCAGAAAGGCGGCTCGGTTGTCGTCTCCCAGTCGGAAGCTGCCCACGCGGAGTGATCCACGCCCCTCGCTTAATCTCCTGGCGCTGCCGCAGGGACCACCGCCTCCACCGCCCACTCGCCCTGCGCTTTGCTCTTGGCCCCACCCGGCCACCGTCGTTCACTGGAACGCTCGCTCGTGACCCGGAAGCGCATTCTCCTTAGCAACTGCGGGTCCGCGACGGCGCCGGCCTCCGGGGAGCGACGGTGAGGCTCTTTGCCCCCTCCCCCTGCGCACGCCCCGGCCGCCGGGTCTGGCCTTCCCGCAGCGCCGCGCTCCGCGGCCCGGGCCGTGCGTCCTCGCCTCCTGGGGCGCCCGACTCCGGCTCCTTTGGTCGCCGCACGACGGCTCCGGCCTGGCCTCGGGCCCCTCACGGCCCGCGGGTCTTTCCTTTTGTAGCGCAGTTGGGTGCGTGAGGAGGGAGATGGGATTGGAGCCGGTGGCTGGGAAGGCGAAGCTTCCCGAGCCTCGGGTCACCTGGGGACAGTGTTCTCGTGGGTCTCGATGGAGCCTGACAGGCTTGCGGCGCCTCGTGCTGAGCCGCCGCACTTGCCGATCGCCCGAGCTTTCCAAAGTGATACACTTTACCATTCCCCGGGCCGTAGAGACTCATTTCATTGCACACTCTGAACCCACGGTTTCCCCGGGAGTTAGCTTTCCAGTTATGAATGAGTTGTGGTTAGTATATCGTGTCGTAGATGTTGTTGCTTCCAGTTTTATACAGGAGGAACCTTTTTATACTGAAGGAACTTGACTCATCTTGAGAAAAATTTCAAGTAAAATTTACTAAGTTGAAGTGGGGGCAGGTGTTAACTAACATAGCTCTGATGTCCCCTTCGGAAGATGCAGTGGCGCTGAAAACCTCCTTTGTGTCAGGACAAGTGGCTCTAAGGAAACTTGAGATGTTGGTAACTACTGATTGCATTTAATATAACGATGATGGGTGAAAACAGAAGTGTGCACAGTTTGTGGAATTATTTAGGGATAAAATGCAGGAACTTACTAAGATCCACTATTCAAAACTATCATTTCATTTCACTTAGTATTAAGCACCAGTAGCGTTAATGCGCTTGCAATGACTTTTAGAAGACATCAAGATTGTCCGCATTGCCCCCCTGGGAAAGCAGTGAGATGACACTGGTTAACTACAATCTATGTGGTACGCGTTAAGTGCCGTCTAGTAGGTTAGAGGGCGGAGAAAGCACTGGTGGTTTTCAGGGATATGTTTATGGATGAAATAATAGTTGATTTGCCTCCAAAGTATAGATATGCTTTGATTTATAGATAATAAATAATAAATAAGTTTCTATATTCCTTAGGGTTTGGGAAACATTTCCATATGGTATTCTTTAGTTCATATTTAAAATTCTAAAGTCATTTGATTCTGATCCATTTCTTTCAAAACATACCACGCACAAATCTCTGGTGTTTTTCCCCGTTTGCGATCTAAAACAGGTGCTTTGTCCCATAGAGAGCCTCTGCTTCTGCAGTGGGTCTCATATTATGCAAAACACAGCAGTTTAAGTAAGTTACTGTTTAAGGGGTACTTAAGAGTCTTGTGAAGTTTTGTTCTTTATTTGACTGATATCCTTGAGTATTTTCATATGTAGTAGACACTGCGTCAGGAGACAACAGAAACAATGGTTACCTAGCAACCAATTATGTTTTATCTGTGGTGTGCCCATGTGTGTCTGTGTATGTATGTCCGTGTGTGTGTGTGTGTGTGTGTGTGTGTGTGTGTGTATGGTTATCTTATCAGTCTTTGATGCTTAGCAGTTGACTTAAGCTGTAGAAGGACATTAGCAGTTCAGATAAGGATTTTAAGCTATTGCTTTGCAGAGCCACCAAAGATACAATTATGAAGGCGGATAAACTCTTAAGACCATTTTGGATATTTTTTTTGTTTTCTTGTAGATATTATATTGTTTAATCTAGTTATTATGCAGATACTGGAGTGTCCACCTGGTACCGCTCACTGCTTGACTGTGGAGTTGAGAATAAATGCAGGCATGATCCCCGTTTTCAGCAGATGATAATCCAGTAACCACACAGATGTTAAGATGCAGTTGTGATGTGTTAAGAGAGTTACAAATGAAACTTATGAATGGAGATATTCAGGATGCATAGGAAAGAAGTGCTTCAGTGAGATTGGCTAGCAGAGCAGAGACCCTGTGATGACAGAGAGGAGAGGAAGGGGACACAAGGAGGGACGTGCAGGCTTGTGGAATAATCTGGTAGGACAGAGAGCTGGAGAAGTGGAGTGGGGCCAGATTGTGCTGGGCCTTGTAGGCAAGCTGAATTTTTCTTTGTGCTTTGAATAAAGAGAAGCCTCTATGAAGGTCTTACTTAGGAACTTAGGCTGTGTGTCGGGTGGGGATGACACAGTCTGTTTGTGTCTGAATAGTCTGCTTGTGTTTCTTCCACCAGTTAGCATGGATTGTGTACTCAGCCCTTCTTTTTAACTTGCTCCCTGTGCTTCATTTTGTAAAGTTTGATTAAAAAAAAATCTAAATTCAAGTTTGTGTGTGTGTGTGTGTGGGGGGAGGTCTCTGAGCAACAGGTGGGAGTCTCTCCTCCTACCAAATGGGTCCTGTGGGTTGACTCGGGTTGACTCAGGTCTTCAGGCTTTGTGGCAAGTGCATTTACCTGCTGAGCCATTGCCCCTCCCTCATGCTGTATTAGTTGGAGAAGCATCTGTGCCCCGCTAGAAAGATGTACTCCATTTTTACTTTATTTTAGGGATTAAAATAGGCCATTGGGGCCAGTTGATTTGAAATATTTTTAAATCAGTACTACTGCTTGGGAACCAGTTTTCGTGTCTTTTTTTTTTGAAACTCCTTTAAAAAAAGTAGCAAATCACATAATATGAAACTTATTGTCAGGCTGGAAGAATTAGCTTAGTTGGTAAAGTGTTTGCAGCACTCTGGACCCGAGTTCTATATCCCCAGCACCCATGTAAAAAGCAGACCTGGTGACATGTGCTTATAACAATAGTGCTGAGGAGACAGAAGGATCCTGGCTGCTTGCAGGTCAAGCCTAATCTGTAAGCCCCAGGCCCCAGAGAGAGGCTATCTCAGAACAAAACAAACCAACCAACCCCTCCCAAATGAGAACCAAGGCAGCCAGCTTCTGAGGAATTAACACCAAAGGCTGACTTCCTGGCCTTCAAGTGCATGCATCCATCCACACAGTCCTAGTCGTCCCCCCCAGACCCCCCCCCCCCCTCCTCGAGACAGGGTTTTTCTGTAACTTTGGAGCCTGTCCTGGAATTTGCTCTGTAGACCAGACTGGCCTCGAACTCAAAGAGGTCTGCCTGCCGCTGCCTCCGGAGTGGGCCACAATTACCTGGCTAGTCCTAGTCATTTTTAAGTGTATAGTTCAGTGGTGGTAATTGCTGGGCGAAATGTAACAGATCTCTGGAGCAATCCATTCTCTTCTTGCCTGCTGTTGGCAACCACCCCTCTAGTCTCCATTGTCATAGTTTTGGCCACTTTGATATTTTAAGTGAATGTTGCACAAGCCTATATCTGTCCTCCCATCACTCACTCAGTTCAATGCTGTCCTCTCATAAATACATAGCTTTTCTTTCTAGTCTTTGGGCTTTATTCACAGAGCCAGGGTGAAAGAGGTTTTTTCAAATCAATTTTTTTTTTTGGCCAGTAATGTGGGGAGCTCTGGTGAGTTGGGAAGTGGTCCCTTTCCTTCAGTTTTCTGTTACAGGTTGTATACAATTGGTATTTTTCCTACTGTTATTAGTATTTACTAGTGTTTATATATGGTATAGTGTGGGAAGGTGGTTTTTTTTTCTTTTTTGAGAAAGTATTCATGATACCTGTTTCTTTTTGGTTACACTTTGGTTTTGCCTTTTATTGACTTTGAATATTTTTCTTGTGTTTTCTTAATATGTTAGCTTTTCCTCTGGCTCATTAAGGGTATAGAATGTAGTTCTAATAGCTACAATTTCCATGCCTTTGTTGTCATTCTGAGGCACTTCCCCCCCCCTAAACCCACACCGCTATTAATTAAGTAAGGAGTACTCACTGGGTGATGATTTCCTTATTTTGTATATTCAGGAACTGAAGCTTAAGAAAATTGGGTAGTTTGATTTGGTCAAGGTCAGATAGCTAATGGTTCAGTTTTCAGTTTAGGTTTTTTAGTTGTATGTCTTGACTCTAGCAAGACAGATAAGTCTAGAAAATATAACAGGAGCTAGAGCAGGAAATTGGAAAGCACATACAGGCTCATGCTGTTTATAAAAGACTTGAAAGGATGTAGGAAGCATTTGGGATGCACTTTGGAAGTTAGGAAGTTTTTCAGACCTGTAGTGTAAGAGAAGCATCTGAGGGGTCAGCGGTGGGTGGGGGGCTGGGGGGCAAGAAGAATGTGTACTGCAGTGCGAGGGCTTGGAAGAGCAGGAATGCATTTGGCTGGGCTGGGTGTGGCTATGGAAAGCAGATGACAAGGAAGTTGGATTGAATTGTAGAAGTTTTTTTTTTTTTGGATGTCTGGCTTCAAAACAGTCTTTTGTATGTCCTTAGCTACTGTAGTCTGATTCAGGGCAGGCTTCTTTTAAAATTTGCCTTCATTACTTAGTACAGTCTTACACATAATTAATTCACAGGTTTATTGATTGATTGATAGCGTGTTTTCTTACTGTTACTTAGTTACTTTATTAGTGCATGTGATTGAATTGTTTATTGTATGAGAAGTCTTGAATCTGCTTCATAAAATTCCTTCCAAAGAAGTCAGCATACTTTATGCTAATTCATTTATTGATTATCTCAGCAGTCAATTTACTATACTCAAAGAATATTCCACTATCATAGGAAATTAGAATCCAGCTTCAACTATAGAGTCATTGGTCATTGGGTAACTGTGTTTTTTCATTAACAAATAAAACATTTTTATGTGTGTGTTGTTTTTGCTGCTGATATGTCTGTGCACAACCTGTGTGCAGTGCCCTCAGGTGCCAGAAGAGTGGAATCCTAGTTGCAGCCTTGTGGGTGCTGGGAATTGAACTCGAGTCCTCTGGAAGAGCAGCCAGTTCTTTTAACCACAGAGACATCTCTCCAGCCCCCATGGTATGGCCTTCTACTGTGATAGTGAAAGGATGCCCAGGCCTGCTTGGTAGGGTGGAGTATGTGAGGTGCTGTCTTTGAGTGCACAGCCACCTGCCCACCACATGCAGAACTGACAGTGATATTGC